GGTAGTACTGAATTCTGTACATACTTTTTTTTTTCTATACATACATACCTACAATAAAGTTTAATTTATAAACTAGGCACAGTAAGAGATTAACATTATATGAAAAGTTCAAAGCCAGTGCCTGAAATACGACAGACACTTGGTGAAGTGGTAGCAATTACTGGTAAGCTATGAGAAAAAAAGAAAAGTTAAGATCTCCCTTCTTCTTCCCCAGTGCAGATAACACTGGGTGAAAATGAACTCTTCAGCATCTTTGAAAGAGAAGGAAGTCTGGTTTTCTCTTTAACTTACCTTTGTTACTGTAAATTTTTTGCTGTAATTTCCACAGTAAAATGGAGGTGCCCTGGGTTTTGAATTTGGGTAGGAGAGAATAATTGTTTGGGATTAAAAATCTCACATAGCCAAGTGGTCAGGTGACTGAAGGTGACTGCACCAGACTGCTCATGGGTGACCCCTGTCCCAGCTTGGCTTCTAGCATAGCTCTAGGACTTTGGGCATCTGTGGATGTGGAGTATACAGGGAGAGAGAAGAACCTATTAACTTCTAAGATGGTCTACTGTATGGACTCCATGGATCAAGTCAGGAAACACTGTTCTGGGGAAAAGTAGGAGCAAGAAGGTATGTGCATACATAGGAGTGGGAAGTTCACTGAGGGTTGTACGGTCTGGTCATACGCATTGTCTATGTGTCTGCTAGGGGTCTTGCCTCTCTATTCCCCCTTCTTTATCCCCAGTTGCCTGCCTACTCACTGCTCCTCAGAACAAGGGAAAATCGGGGCCCCAGAAAGGCCTAGGAGACTGGCATCTGTTTGCTCATTGTCCCCAGTGCTCCAGCAGTCTGGAGGCCAGACCATTGCCTCTCTTCCTTGCACCTGAGATGCAAATGACTTCCTCTCCTTGAACTTTGGGGCACAGGTGCATGCCAGAGTCATCTCACTGTGGAGTCTCCCTGCCTGGGGCTCAGGGCTAAGACAGATTGTGAGTCAAGCTGCCCTGGTGAGACCCAGCGAATTCCCATCCATCTCCCCCCACCCAGCCTCATTATTCCTGGAAAGGCTCCTCTGGGGCTCTGTTGGATATTGGGCAGGGGCTGTAGGAGGTGATTACAGAACAGTTCATTGTTCTCAACCAGCATGACTCACTCCTGCCTGCATCAAGCCCTGAGGGGGAAGCCGTTCCTCTTGCCCTCACTCCAGCTTCTGAGTGAATGCAACTTCCCACAATTAGCCACTTCTGGTCAAAGTAGGGGCAATCAGCAGAGCAGACTCAGCAGAAACTCGCCTCACAACGTCCCGCAGTCAGTAATAATTAGCAATGGCTTTGTTGGTTGCTTGGTTTGTGAATGTATGTTCACTGCCTTTATCCTTGAATGATTTTAGGATGAGTAATCAGTTAAGGACTAATTAAAGGAGCCCTTTTCTGGGTGTTTGGAAACCTTCATTCTAGGTTCAGTAATCTTGGACATGTCACTTCACCTTGCTGGGCCTCCATTTCCCTATCTGAACGATGGGAGGAGTAAACCAGTTTTGCCTGCTATTGGATGTGAGTAGCCCCCATGACAGTGGATGTGAAACCGCATCCTTAGCTGTCCCCTCTCACCCCAGCTCTCCCTGCCCAGGGTCTTTAGGGAGGATATTGGGACAGCTTTATGAAAGCAGACTCTGGGGGCTAAGAATGATCTCGGGCTCAACATAAACATGAGGAGTGCTGAAGAAGTAGTGCAGAACCACACATGTGAGCTCAGTGACATGCCTGCCCTAGCCAGGTGGTCCCCACCCCTGAGAGCACAGGGACATGAGGCAGAAGCAGGCCCTGCTTGGGGCTCTGGACTGGCCTTCACACACTTCCACTTCCTTCCCAGGACACTGGATGTTTCCTCTGCTAGGACTTAGGGGGCAGGTGGGGATGTGGAAAGACTAATCAGACCCCCATCCACCCATCCAGGAACCTGTGTTCCAGTAATACTCACATTCACACTAGCAGCGAACACTCACTGAATCCTGGCTGCATGCTTCATCTGACTTATGCCTCACAAGGACCCTATGGAGATGCACTTTCACTTTCCTCCATTTGCAAATGACAAGCTGGAGTTCAAACAGGATTAGCGATTTGCCTGGGATCACAAAGTCAGCAGCGGTGGGAGACACTGAATTCTCATGTTAGTTGATGAGCTTTGATTGAAGGGTCACCATGGAACCAGACAAATCTAAGTTCAAATCCTAGCTCTCCAATCCCCACACTGACTACAGGCAAGCCACTTATCCTGCCTAACATTGAACTTCCTCATCTGTTAAAACAAGACTTTCCTTGTGAGAATTAGGAACATTATATGAAAAGTTCAAAGCCAGTGCCTGAAATACGACAGACACTTGGTGAAGTGGTAGCAATTACTGGTAAGCTATGAGAGTAGTGGGGGAACATTGCTTCCCCCATGCCCAGCATACCAGTAGGAGGGTGTTGGGATGAGCTGTACCCAGGGATACCCGATGGATCAGAGCCATGAACGTGCACAATTGCTGTTCTAGGCAGGTCCACCCAAGCACCTGTGGGTCACCCTGAATGGTCGGTCTCAGAAGGCACTGTGGGAGTGGACAAGCCTCTCAACATTTGGGGAAATGGAGATAGAGATGGGGGTGGGAAGAGAGCCTGGGCATTTTACATGTTCGCTTGGCAGCAGTGATAGAATCACTTGGGGTATGCATTGGTAAA